ATATATCTAAACACCTCACACAATGCCTGGCACTTAACAGGTGCTCAGTTGGTCTGTATTAAAATCCAGGCTCTGTCTCTTATTATTTATACGTCCTTGGACTTCATTTCCTTGAACTCTAGACTCCCTATCTCTAAGGTGGGGTTGATATTACTCACATCCCACCAGGTTCTGGTCAGAATTTTTTAAGTGCTTATTTACCGATAATGTGCCAAGTTCTTTATCTGAATTGGACATTTAATCCTTTACTCTGTGGGTAGAACATTTATAATCACCCCAACGTTTTCAATGGGGAAACTAGGGCTCAGTGAGGCTGATTGACTTTGCCCACAGTCACATGGCTGGTGAGGGGGCAGACTCAAGATTTGAGTCCAGGCATTTTGCTCCCATGTATACACTATGTATATAAAGGACCTGGCACAAAGCAGCTGCTCATTTTGTGCTTGAACTGCTGCTCTGTCCCCCCACTCCCCCAAAAAAGCACAACATCCAGGGTAGGCCAAAGCTATGTTACTTGGCTCTACCTAACTTCAAGCAGAGGAGGAGTTTCAAGGGAACCAAGCACTTGTAGTGCAAAGTCACCAAGGTTTTGGAGTTATTCGTTGTAGCAGCTGGCATGACTTAACCTTTCCCTCTTAGCTGTTTGCAGCATTTACACCTGAGTGTCAATCAGTTGGGAAGTTTTAGGCTGCAAGTAATAGAATACCCTATTACTCCTGAATTCAACAATAGGTGCCTTCGCAGTCAAGGAATCTGGAGGTTAGGTGGCTCCAGGTTTGATTCATTCAGAGGTTCAATGGACCCGCATTTTGGCTTCCGCACCCTCAGTATATTGGCTGTAGCCCTCAGGCTTTGCCCGTCATGCTCTCAACATGGCTGCCAAAGTTCCAGACATCACATCCTCATGCAATCACTTAAAGGGAAAGAATAGGGGACCTTCCCCATACCCCTTTTTATATATAATAATTGAGGCCAGCCCTTCTCAAACCTCCTGCCCCAGCAGACTTTCTTTATGTTGTATTGGGCAGAACTGGGTCATATTCTTGTGGAAGACTACCAGGGCTCACCAATAGCCATCTTCTTCTTCCTGGGCACACATGTGGGATACATTTCCCAGCCTTCTTTGCAGTTAGACGTGGTTATGTGACTGAGGTCTGGCCAATGGGATGTGAGCAAAAATAACTGTACTGATTTCAAGTCTGGCTTATAAAAATCTCCTACCCAGAATCCTTGCTCTTTCTACCATCTGCCTGCTGAATGGAGAGGACTCTGAGAATGAGGAAAGCCACAAAATAGGAAAAGTCTCAATCCCTACATGACCTGCAGAAAGCAGAGCCCTCCTGTCAAGACTTATTGCAGTTTGATGTGAGAAAGAACCAAGCATTTATGATGCAAAGCCACTGAGGTTTTGGAGTTATTTGTTACGGTAGTCAACATGGTTTAACCTTGCCCATACATACTAGCCAGGGCACCAGAGAGCTTTGAATGGTTTAGCCCCTGAGTATGGGAAATGATTTCTTCCTTGAGTACATTGCCCACTCCCTGTAGAGAAGGATGAAGGCAAGAAGGGGAGGGACGTTGGAGTTTAGGCTTTAGCTAAACCCAAGGCATAGAAGGATGGAGCTTAGGGAGACAGCTGCCTTCCTCACATGCTGGGGCTAAGAGGGGTGCGAGCAGGGAGGAGAAGGGCTTCTGTAGATCTCCAAATCTGACCCAGGCCACCACTCTCTAGCTATGTGACTCTGGGCAAGTGCATGACCCTTTCTGAGCCTCCTTAAACAGTTACATGAGGCAGTCAGACTGGAGGCTCTCACCCTAAGCGCCCATATGGTTATGACATTCACTGACTCGTTCCTCACAGCAGCCAGTGGCCAAAGAGAAAGGGTGTGGCTCCCCTAGGGGCTCAGGGTCAGGGTCACTTCTCTGTGTGGAATCTGGGCTTTGCTGCCCAGAACGGCCCTCCTGATGTCTGGAATTCCACCATGAGTGACTCATGCCTTTGGGAAGCCACTGCCCTGACCCCACTGAGTAATAACAATAACAGCCCCTCGTGGCTTTTTCTTTGCTGAGAGTTTCATAGTCCACGGTCTCATCTGGTCCCCAGCACACGGCTGTGAGTAGGCAGTGAAGGTGGAGAGAGTTAGAATCACCATACACGATGCAGGAAGCAATGTGCCCACAGCTACACAGCAAGTTAGTGGCCAAGCCTAGAGTCCTGCCTGGATTGTGGCTTTTTCCCCAAAAACACTTCGCTTGAAAAGGCTACCTCTGATATTTGTGTGTCCATTTTCACAGCAGATTATTCACAATAGCCAAAAGGTGAAAGCCACTCAAGAGTCCATTGATAGATTAGTGGATAAGCAAAATATAGTGTAGCCACACAATGGAAGGTTTTCAGCCTTAAAAAAGGAGGGCAATTCTGATACATGCTACAACAGGGATGAAGCTTGAGGACATTATGCTAAGTGAAATAAATCAGTCACAGAAAGATGAATACTGTGTGATTCCAATTATAGGAGGTATCTGTCAAAAGTAGTCCAATTCGTAGAGACAGAAAGTGGAATTGCCAGGGGCTGGGGAGGGGAAAATGAGAAGTTTGCTTAATGGGTTTAGAATTTCAGTTTTGCAAGATGAAGAGTTCTGTGGAAGGATGGTGATAGAAACACAATAATGTGAATGTACTTAAAGCCATGCGTTGTACATTTAAAATTGCTTAGATGGTAAATTTTATATTCCATGTGTTTTGCCAAAATGTAAACGTTTAAAAAAAAGAAAAAAAAAAAAAAAACCTCTCCTAAGAGGTAGATGCTAAGTTCTAATATTTTTCAGGACATACAAATTAGTTTATCATGATTTGTATCAGTCAGGATAGGCTAGGTCAGCTGTTGTAACAAACAGCTCCGAATTCTGACTTTAGGTTAGACTGCTCTTAAACTAACTCTGTTCCTCCTGGAACATTCTTCTTTGCCATTCTAAACCTCTCCCTACTCTGCCTGTACCCCAAACCCAGAATAAGGCAATAGAATCAGACATACTCAACCTTGTCTGGCTGTGTGGTTGTGGGCAAACCAGTTAACCTCTCTGGGCCTCAGCTTACTCATCTGAAAAATGGGGACAATAAATGAACCTTGAGAAGAGAATTCAAGGAGTATGGAAACATTTAACTTGGTCTAGGGCATAGTGTCAGGCTGTGGGTATATTTAAACCTCATGCAGAGCTTGGCACCCAGGCGGGAATGGGGTAGGCTTCAGTTTCCTGCCAGTCAGGCCCTCAGCCTGAACAATCTCGAGAACACCTTCTTCCAGCCAGCCTTGCGTCAGGGCTGGGGAATGGGTGGGACAGGAGCCAGAGGCTGCAGAGACAGCCGTCTAGTGCCTGAGATACTTTTCTCCCCAATAATCTGTTTTTAATCTTTCATTATTATATTTTTTTCTGTTTTGAAATCCATCCTGCCAAGCATCAGGCATGCAAGTGTGGTCAGCTCCCAGCCTAGCCTACATCAAAGTCTTTGAGAATTTCTGCTTTGAATCATGGAGTAGGGGACCCTGCCTTATATCATGTGTGTCCAGCCTCCACACCTTTGCGTGTGCTGCCATGCCCCATCCCCTCTGTCTTTCCAGATTCTGTTCACTATCTGTCAAGGCTTGGCCACAGGGCTCTCCCCTGCCAACAGCTCTCTGATCTCTCTTCCCTCCCTTGTTAACACAAGGAGGTTCCCTACAGTCTCACCAGATCTGGGGACATGTCTTCATTCTCATCTTCTTTATTTAACACCTTTGAGGGCAGGCACAGCATCATCCACTTTGCCTGACGACTTTCATGAATTGGTCAAGTGTTTTTATCACCACCATACCAATGGCAGGAGAGATGATGAAGATGTTTACCCCCATTTTACACATGAGAACTTGGAGGTCATGAGACTGCAAGTGGTAGTCACCCAGTTGGGGAATAAGGCCCTCTATCCCGATGCCCTCTCTCTTTCTAATCTACCCTGCTGGGCTAAGCACACAGTAGGTGTGTGCCTAAATGTGCATGAGTAGGGGGCTGGGCAAAGACTGGGGACTGGCAAGCTCTTCCCTGAACTCATTTTCTCTTCTGCCTGGACAAGCAGTGAGTCTACATCTCCAGCCTTCCTTGCGAGGAAAACAAAGTCTTCCAGTGGACTGATTATGAAAGTGGGCCAGATTCTGCACCACTATCTGTTTCCACACCCCTTTGCAATGTGACTTTGCCTTCATTCTCGCCAGTGTGGGTTGGCCTTGGAACTCTCTTTGGTCCATTGAACGTCGTGGAAGTGACCTTGTGCTAGCTCTGAGCCTGAGCCTCAAGAAGAATGCAGTCCTTGCAGTCTCTCTCTCTCTTTCCCACCCTCTGCTCCCCACCTTCCCCCACCCCCCTGAACCTGACCCACCACCTGCCGGCCTCCTCCACCATAAGACAAGCCCAGCCCAGCCCACTGGAGAATGGGAGAGCACATGGAGTGGGATCAACTCTTTTTTTTGAAACAAAGTCTCACTCACTTTGTCATCCAGGCTGGAGTACAGTGGGGCAATCTCTGCTCGTTGCAACCTCTGCCTCCTGGGTTCAAGCGATTCTCCCACTCCAGCCTCCCGAGTAGCTGGGACTACAGGCGCACGCCACCATGCCTGGATAATTTTTGTATTTTCAGTAGAGGCGGGTTTTGCCATGTTGGCCAGGCTGGTCTCAAACTCCTGACCTCAAGTGATCCACCTGCCTCGGCCTCCCAAAATGTGCCTGACCCCAATTCTTACAGAAGACAGTTCTACCGTCACTTTAAGTCACAAACATGGTCTCAACTCAAATTTAAAATGTCCAGTCAAGCTATTAATCCAAACTGCCAATTGGATCTGGGTTTAAGCCTTCTCCCCTTACCCAGCTCGTGCTGTTCTGGGGAGGCAGTTTGGGGGGCTCCTTCTCTAGACCTCCTCCCCCCACAGGTGGGGGCTGTGGAGATAGTAAGGGGAGGGGAAGGGTCTCACCTGAGCTGCCGCCATCCTGCTGGCTTCCAGCTGACCGTGTCACAGATGTCCCACAGATGGCCATGGCTGCAGAGCTCCCTCACTCTTAACCCTGTGGCGGATGCACCTCTCCTTCTAGAGGTCCCTTGCAAGTCCTTCCTTGGCCGTCAGGAATCCAACATCCAACTCCAGCTTCTTGCTGCTAAGACCACTTTACCCTCCAGGAGGCCCTAGGGGACAAGACCCAAACTGACCACTGCAAGCTACCCCCACCCCAGCCCACATCTGATTTCCAAACCCTTCCAGGTCCCCTGCCTGGTATGTGGAGGTGCAGGAGTGGCCCCCTCTGGGTAAGGTCTCATAGCTGGAGCTGCCGCTCCTCCTGCAACAGCTCCTTCCCAAGCCCCAAGCTCTTTATTTTCCCACAGTCAGTGAGGGGTGAAGGCTGGGGAGACAGATTCTTGGCCGCCTTCTGTGTAAATCCGTCGGACCTGATGATCCAGTCTAGAATTTCACATCTTTCCTATCCTGGGATCTTCTGTTGAACATTTTTATATATTTCAACAGAAGGAAACAGGCCTTATATACTTGCTCTGGATTTTGTTGTCTTTATATCTTGAATATTTTCTCACCTTTCTTTATAGATACCTCACTTAAAAAAATTTTAATTGCAGCAAAATATACATAACATAAAATTTAGCTAATTAATCGTTTGAAGTGTACAGTTTTGTGGCATTAAATATAGTTACATTGTTGTGCAACCATCACCACCAAACCTCTCCAAAATGTGATCTTGCAAAACTGAAACTCTGTACTCATAAAATACTAATATCCTATTCCCCCTCCTCCCAGCTCCTGGAACTGCCATTCTACTTTCTGTCCCTATGAATTGGGCTATTTTTCTTTCTTTTACTCTGTCGCCCAGGCTGGAGTGCAGTAGCGCAAACTTGGCTCACTGCAACCTCCACCTCCCGGGTTCAAGCGATTCTCCTGCCTCACCCTCCCAAGTAGCTGGGATTATAGGCACGCACCAGCATGCCTGGCTGACTTTCGTATTTTTAGTTGAGATGGGGTTTCACCATGTTGGCCAGGCTGGTCTGCAACTCCTGACCTCAGGTGGTCTGCCCACCTTGGCCTCTCAAAGTGCTGGGATTACAGGCATGAGCCACCGCACCTGGCCTACTTTAGACAGATATTTCATCTAAGTGAAATAATACAGTATTTGAGCCTTCGCATCTGGCTCATCTCATTTAGCATAGTGTCCTCAAGGGTCATCCACGCTGTAGCATCTGTCAGAATTTCCTTCCTCCTTAAGGCTGAATAATATTCCATTTACATACAGACCACACTGTGTTCATTCATTTGTCCATTGATGGACACTTGGATTGTTTCCACACTTGACTATTGCGGGTAGTGCTGCTACAATCATAGGTGTGCACATATCTGTTCAAGACCCTGCTTTTCAGTTCTTTTGGGCACATACCCACAAGCGGAATGACTGGATCATAAGGTAATTTTATTTTACATTTTTCGAGGAACTGCTATGCAGTTTTCTGTAGGTGTTGTACCATTTTACATTCCCACCAACAGAGCACAATGGTTCCAATTTCTTCACATCCTCACCAACACTTATTTTCATTTTTTAAAAATAGTAGCCATCTTAATGGGTGTGAGATGGCACGTTTCCAATTTTTTGCTATGATAAAAACTGCAGTGGATAATCTTGTACACACCTCATTTCACACATATGAAAATATATCTGTCGTTTAACTCCCGAGAATGGAATTGCTGGATCAAAGCATCTTTTGGAATTTCTTATGGAAGTCTAACTTATACACAAAACTGCACACAAATCCCAAGTGCTTAGCTTGATGAATTTTCACGGAGTGGCCACACTCCTGAAGACGGTGTCCAGAATATTGTCAGCCCCAGAGAAGCCCCCAGATGGCCCCCAAAGACCAGCCATCATCCTGACTTCTAACATCATAAGTTAGTTTTGCCTCTTTTGAACTTTTTGTGAGTGGAATCATACAGTGTGTATTATTTTGTGTGTGGCTTCTTTTGTTCCACATACATGTTTGCGAGTTCCATCCACGCTGCTGCGTGTAGTTGTTCATTCATTTTTATTCTCACTGGAGTATTGTATTGTATGAAGATACCACAATTTATCCATTCCGCTGTTGATGAGCATTTGAGTAGTTCCTGGTTTCGGGATATTTCAAATCGTGTGGCTACGGAGATCACTAGCAGAGTCCTGTCCAATAAAATATGACAGACACAGAAGAACTAAAAATATGAGTCAAACAGATATTTGTATGAAAATGTTCACAGCAGCACTATTCACCATAGCCAAAAGGTGGAAACAACCCAAATGCCCATCGATGAATGAATGGATAAACAAAATGTGGTATATCCATACAATGGAATATTATTCAGTCTTAAAAAAGGAAGGAAGTTCTGACATATGCTACAACACGGATGAACCTTGAAGACACTACACCAAGTGAAATAAGCCAGGCAACCAAGGACAAATTGTGTATGATTTATCTCATATGAGGTAACCTAGAATAGTCCAATTCACAGAGACAGAAAGTAGAATAGTGGTTGCCAGGGGCTGGGAGAAGAGGAGAAAGCGGAGTTGTTGTCCTATAGATGCACAGTGTCAGTTTGGGAAGATGAAAACGCTCTGGGGGTAGATGGTGGTGATGGTTGTGCAACAATGGGAATGTACTTAACATGGCTGAACTTTGGACCCTTAAAAATGGTCCAAATGGTAAATGTTATGTATATCTTACCACAATAAAAAGGTAAAAATATATAATATGATCCACAATGCAAGTCATGTATATTCCTAGCAGCCACATTCAAAAAAGAACAAGAAATAGGTAAAAATAATTTTAAAAATTACTTAACCCAGGCCAGGTGCAGTGGCTCACACTTGTAATCCTAGCACTTTGGGAGGCCGACGTGGGCAGATCACTTGAGGTCAGGAATTTGAGACCAGCCTGGCCAACATGGTGAAACCCCATCTCTACTAAACATACAAAAATAATTAACTAGGCGTGGTAGCAGGCGCTTGTAATCCCAGCTACTCAGGAGGCTGAGGCAGGAGAATCACTTGAATCTGGGAGGCAGAGGTTGCAGTGAGCCGAGATCATGCCACTGCACTCCAGCCTGGGCGACAGAGTGAGACTCTGTCTCAAAAAAATAAAAATAAATAAAAATAAAAATTAATCCAATCTATCCAAAATATTATTGCAACACATCATCAATATTAGCAAGTTATTAAGGAGTTATTTTATTTTTTTTGTTAGTATACAAAATCCCATATATATTTCACGCTTGCAACACATCTCAATTTGACCAGCCATATTTCTTTCTTTTTTCTGAGACTGTCTTGCTGTGTTGCTCAGGCTGGAGTGCAGTAGCACCATCTCGGCTCACTGCAGCCTCCATTCCCCGGTTCAAGCAATTGTTGTGCTTCAGCCTGCCTAGTAGCTGGGACTACAGGTACGTGCCACCACGCCTCGCTAATTTTTGTATTTTTAGTAGAGACAGGGTTTTGTCATGTCAGCCAGGCTTGGACCAAACATATTTCAAGGACTCCGCAGCCACATGTGGTGGGTGGCTCCACGTTAGATCATGCAGGTCTAGTTCAAGTCGTTTGATGAATGTATCATGCATACCTGTTAGATGCATGTGAATTTTTAATTTTGATAGATATTACCAGATTAGCTTCTATAAGTGTTAAACCAAGTTTTATTTTCCTTTCTTTCTTTTTTTTTTTTCTGTTTGTTTGTTTGGAGATGGAGTCTCACTCTGTCGCCACAGTGGAGGGAGTGCAGTGGCACGATCTCAGCTCACTGCAACCTCCGCCTCCCGGGTTCAAGTGATTCTCCTGCCTCAGCCTCCCGAGTAGCTGGGACTACTGGCGTGTGCCACCACGCCCAACTAATGTTTGTGTTTGTAGTAGAGACAGGGTTTCACCATGTTGGCCAGGCTGGTCTCAAACTCCCCACCTCAGGTGATCTGCCCTCCTCGCCTCCCAAAGTGCTGGGATTACAGGTGTGAGCTATCGCGCCTGGCCAAAACCAAGTTTTAATCCCACCAACAATGTTGAAGGAGTGTGTCTCCATATCCCCACCTGCATAACTTTGCCAATTTGATAGCAAAACAGTGCCTGCTCAGGTGGTGTGGATTTAACACGTTTCTCTTCCTAGGAGTGAAAATGAGGATCTTTTTATATGTTAAAAAGCCACTGCACTTTCCTTTCTGAGAAGCATTGACTCACCAATTTGAGGGCTATTTTATACTTCTCTCACCCCTCTCCCCGTTCTCCAGGCCCCACCAGAGCTGGGACTAAATGAGGGCTCAAAGCCAGATATTTCAGAATCGTGCTGTTGTCATGCAGGGCAAATTCTGTTGGCCTGAATTGTGGGAAGCAGGGCTTATCTTTGAGGTCACAGCGCCCCCTGCTGGCCAAGATGGGGTTTTCCTCCGCAGCTTGGACCAGGGCGGCTGGGGACCGAGGGGGCGCCTCTGGAGTCTGGGTTTGATCTCACGTCTACCGTTGAGTGCTATGTGACCTCGGGTAAGCAACTTCACCTCTCTGGGCTTTCCACTTCCTCACCTATAAAATCGAAATAATAGCCATTCTTCTCAGTCTCTGGGTTGTTGGAGGAATTATCTGCTGATAGGGCCTGAAGGTGCTTCACTGAGTGTGTGGCACAAAACAAGTGCTAAATAAACAGTGGCTGGAATTCTTGACATTCAGAAAGACCCAGCGGGGAGACAGAAAGGATGACGGGAGCTTAGCAAAAGAAGCAGCTGGTGCCGCTGGAATTTCATAGGTTCACTTCTGCCTAGCCAACTTCTAAACCTGTTTTCTCTTGGCTCCCTCACTTTCCGGCCAGAGGCTCAGTCATACTGCAATGCTGAGAACTCCTTGCCTAAGCCAGACAGGGCCTTGACCTTTCCCCCGCGTTGGGCTGGGTGCACTAGAGTATTGAGCAAATCCACACTCAGCAACCCCCTCCCCGCCACGCGCACACACACACACACGCGCACACACACAAAGCCACACACTCAAAGCATTTGAGTATCTTCTTCCAGGGAGCTTATAGACACCCCAGCAGAGGCCTCCGTGATCACACTGGCTGAGCACCAGCTGTCTGTGTGGTGCTGGATGAGGGGAGTTTTATCTGCGCCACTCTGGCCCACCGCTGTAGGGCCCTGTGTTCTTATCTGACATTCAACTCTTACCTAATTGTCCATTACACTCACATCCTTCCTCTGCTCTGCAACCTTCCATGGCTCTCCAGTGCCTGCCATGTAAGCCCAGATTCCTCACCCTGGCATTCAAGGTCACTCATGGCCTGGGGTGGTCTGTGTGTGGAGCGGCCCACTAGGCTACATGAGAAACACTCTCTCAAATCCTGCCCTTGCTTCAAGATGGAACTAAATGCCACTTCCTTCCTTCCTTCATTTCTCTACCCTTTCACTCAACATGATTTATTAGACACAAAATGTATTTATTAACACATATTTGTTACCTACTCTATGAAGACATTATCCTAGGCAGTGGAGAGAGAGAGCGGTCTTAGCCAATTGCAACTAAAATGTGTTAGTTTTGCAAATGTTGTGGAACATATGCCCGTGTGAATGCATTGGAAAGTTCCTCCATGGCCCCTGGGAGAGGACATGCAAGAGAGGATCCCTGGTGTGTCACCGGCCTCACAGTAAATTCACTTCTGTGCCCAACTAGGCAGGGCTGTCTCCTGGTCCAGGATCATAGCCTCTTCCTCCTCTGATCTCCAAGGACTTTCACTCTCGGCTCTGCCACCAACCAGCTTTGTGACTCTGGGAAGTCATTTTTCCAAG